CAGGCTTTTCTCAGCAAGATTAGAAATCTTCTCCTCTCTTGAGAATTGTATCTTCGCAGCATAATTTTAATGCAATTCAAAATCACATATCAACACTAGGAAAATATCTCACCCAAGATTTAACAGGAGAAGCAAAACTATTAATGTAAGCATATTACTATCAGTTTGTATGTATTATAAAAATATATTGTAAAGCAGTTTAAATGATATTGAAAATCCAGTCAATGTGTAATGAATTACAAGGTTAATTTGAATTCTCAGTAAAGTATTGTAAATATGAATTCATATAATGTTTAAATGTACACATAGCTTAATTCAGAAGTCAACAAACAAAATCAGCGTTATTTACAAAATTTTCACAGGAAGTTTCGATGGTTTTAACCACCATCTTCAGCTGCAAAACCGCAAATGATTCGGCGTGTTATTGTGTCTTAAGTACATAGCTGTCATGATTTTTTTATCTATTTATATGAACTTGTACAAGACAATGATTGTAATCCAAATATATGCTTATACACAGGCCTTGTATGCCATGTCTTATGTATATTTTTACATGGAGAAATTTCCCTTCCGCCAGGTGACTATTACACTGTAAGACTTTTACAACAAAGTCAGGTCGTGGTTATCTCAGCGGCGCTCAGCCATTATTAGGCCGATTATTAACAATAGACGTAATTGCTTTATAATTTGTAACTCATTCAGCGCGTTTCCGCTTTAATACAAACATTTCATCCCCATTATTAAAAAAATGGTGAAACTTTTTTTTTTTTTCAAGTGGCCGAACATTTCCTGAAAGCATTTGTTGGAAGGCCAAACCCATCCGACAGTTTGCATCAATGGAGAAAAGCTGCCCAGGTTTGCACAGTAAACGATGGATACTGCACCGTGAGAAAGGGGGGGGGAATACACACGCACAAACCAGCCTTAGGTATGTGGAACGTCCACCTTAGTGTTGGGCTGCAGTGAACTTCCACTGAAGACAAAACTACATAGACATTCTGATGAATGACATTGTATTTTCAATATATTTAATAACATATTTATTTATTAATGCTAAGCTTTATACTTTGGTTTCGGGTAGAATATTTCATTTCAATGAAAATGCGATAAAATTTATAATTTTATCTATTCATTTTTGACATCAGAAACGTCTATATTCATTTTTTACCCTTTTGTGAAGGTTAGAGTACATTACCTTGCCACCAGCCGTTTAGTGGTTAGTGACTGAAACGCCGTCGTCTCCGACCTAAAATTTCTACACCAAAATCAGAGTTATGTCCCTTGCGGAAAAAGAATCTACCATCCCCGCCGGCGGCATTTCAATGAATTCATGATATAGATTACAATGTTAAATTGACAATGTCATCTATACCAATAAACTGTTACATAATAATCCGTATGAAAAAATAATATACAATCAATTATCATTACATTGTCATGGATAGATCTTGCTGGGAGAGTGAACTATTATATAACCAGTTTTTAAACCTATGCCTTCTTCAATACTCATAATTTCATGTTCTTATCAGTTACACAATAATGATGTGTGTCCGTAGTTATTTTTGCAGTTATCCACAAGTAGCCACTCACATCAGTTCAGGCAGTTGATAGTTCCATAGCCCAAAATGTATGATTGTTGTGTAAACTACTCTCTGTTTAATATAAACTGAATTCTAAGTTAACTTTGATAAATTTCGAAGTACACTTTGTGAAGTTCATTGTTCAGGTAATATACGACTTGTCCACTTCGATAAATCGTATTCGTGTCCTTAACGTGCACACTCTTATGTGTGCATAGCAATTGCACACTGTGTCGTAGTATCCACAAAGCAATCCAAAATTGCAGTTGGGAAAGTTTTGTAATATGTCACTATTTTACTCTTATCAGACATAACAAATGTTTTGGTAATTATAACTTGATAAAAGATAAAGAAGGAAAAGGAAAGAAAATATTCTTAAGTTTTCAATACAATTCTAAACTGTGCAAAACTACAGATTGTTAAACAATTCCAGTCGATACAAATTGACTAGTATTCCAACAATATAAAGCACATATTCTAAATAAAACGTCTAATGAAAAACAGAACTAATCCCAATTAACAATAGACCATAAAATAAATAATAAGTCAGTTTTTTTAATGCCTCCCAAAAACATGTTTTAAATTACAATTAGACATTAAACAAAATCAATCATACTACAATGACATGTTTAAAAAAACTGCAACTAATTTTTCATTCAGTTTATAATAATTTTACTAATAATTGAGAATAGCACACATTAAACAATTCATCATACAAATTGACAGTTTCCTACAAATTAGAGCACATATTTAATATAGTAATCATTCTTGTAAAATGGCTATAAAGTGCTCAATTTCTTCAAATAACAGAAAACACATCTACAGGAAACAGACCAATTCCCAAGTGCAAAAAACATGAAATACCAAAATTATTCATACATATTATATACCAAATTATTAACCTATAAATGTAGATGTTTCAAATGCTGGCAAGTTAGTAATCAATTTCATTACAGTTAGTTAGTTTTTCATCAGTTAGTCCAATCATACTAATAAAAATATAAATCGGCTCTAATTTGAATCATGTAATAGTATAGTTCCTTGAGAGTTTATCCATGAAGTTATCGTTTTATTTAGGGCAGATCCTTCAAGGTGCTCTACCATAATTAAATAACCAAAAACTAAAGCAACCAATCAGAGGACTTTGTAAGATATTTCCAGTACACAGCTAACTCACATAAAAGCAGAAAATGCAATTACCAGTGCAACAAATGCTCTTAGCAGTTAGTAAAACTGGCATTTATACTTATTAATGAACTTATAACTGAACTCCACCTTCTTTTGTATGAGGAAAATATGCCGAGAGAATTGAGTACTTTAGGTAAAAATTCTCATTTTGAAATAGCTCTTTAATATATTATCTCTTCAGGAAAATGAATATTAATTTATTCTATCATTCGATTAAGAAGGCTTTAAAGAATCTAGAAGACAAAATAAGAAAACAATTTTAGGCGCCTCGAAGATTATTTTTCAAAACTCTTCTTTTCTTTTTTTGAGAATCGTTCTTTGTTATTACTATCTTTGTAGTCACCCTTTATTTTATTATTTTTTTTACCCAAAAGAACTATCCATTAGTCTCGATTTGCGTTGATTCACTTAAATATGTTGTTTCACTTTTCATTCGAGTCTGTTGCCATTCGGTCAAATGCAAGATATTTATCTTTCAAATTTAATCTGTCTGTTATTGATTAACAAATTAAAATATTCAAAAACAATAGACATAATTCATGAGTTTTGTTTCACTTTTTAATCTGATTGATTTACATAAAAATGAATTTAATTCATAATATATATAATTAAAAAACATTCAAAAATTTTTTATAGAATTACATTGCATAAGTTTTCACTTTTCAAAACATACGAAAAATGTATAATGTTCCCATGTTAATGGGAATCTAAATGCATATCCATCTAGTATTCCATAAATGTTTCGTTATTCCACTTGGGTTATGTCTACTGAAAATCACATTAAGCTTTTAAAAGAGCTCTTTGAGCGACATTAAAAATCTGAACCCTTTCAATTTATTATTCTTTTATTTATTTTCATTTTTAAAATTTCATTTGTTTAATATAATTTGTTAGCCCAAAAGGGCTATAATTCTCGAAAAGGATTTGGTGGCGTATCACTTTTAAACGTCTAAATCACTTTCATATGTGTCATGTTGTCACGAAGCATTATCCCTTGTATTATATTTAAAGAAATTAATTATATTAATAATTAAATTTAATGAAAATTCTGCATGGATATATCCGCGTTTCACTCACTGTGAAAAATCGTCATCAAATTTTGAATAACATAGTGCTCTACCCGAACATGTGCATCTTGAAGCCCGGATTTTGAATTTCGAATTTATGTTTCATATTTTGTAAAACTTTAAACGAATTTTTTTAATAAACGCGAGCAGCGGCGACACTGTAAAGATTAAAGCATTGTTATCTCAGCTCACGAGACTGATATATCGGAAAATTCTAAAGATATGCTGTTTTTAAATATTTTGTGATTTTTCAGTTCAACTGAATTTTATGTGGCGTAAGTGCGAAGAAAGCATGATATTTATTTCGTAAATTTAACACACAAACAGAAAATGTGCACTAACACTCAACATTCCATCGGGAGCTTTCAGAATTTTTGTAGTTTTGCTGTTGAACTGCATATGGCGTAAGCGCGCAGAAAATGATGCTTAATATTACAGCTAAAAAGACAAAAAGAAATGGGTTAGCAGAAGTGAGTGCAACAGAAGATTGGTAAACTACAAGCTCAGCGAGGGTGTATAAGGACCTTAATGAACCCTTTTGGGCAGCCATTAAAAATCTGAGCCATTTCAGTTTTTTTAATTTCTGAAATTATTATTAATTTATTAATAATCTTATTAATTTTTTTAATTTCATTTTAAGTCGTCATTAATGAAAATATATCTTAAACGGTTGCTGCAGAGAAATTAGTTCTCTAGCCAGGGTTTGACTTCCTGCATTCTTATTGTGGTCACTCATGTGCACCTTGTTTCTTGTTTAAATTTTGACAGAAAACCTTTTGCCGCTGTGCTGTGCCATAATCGAATAAACCAACCTTTTACTGTTGCAACTGCTAAAACTTTTCATCTTTCATTATCTATTTCTACACCTCTTGCGGATCAAGACAGGTAGAAAAGAGAAAAATAAATGAGTATTTTTAACCATAGTCAAATGTTACAACATTTCTTTTTCCTCCTGAAGGAAAGGGAATAAATTTATAGCGTATACATTTTACCTCTGAAAATTTGCGGACTATCACGATTTTCGAGTAGTAGCGTTATTTACCCAAAGTTGGCGAGAAATTGCCAATTTCGGCACTCCTTTCTCGCCATCAACCAGCTGACCGGTGTGGAAGTCTTGGAGCTCTCTTTCCAGTACTCTCACTTTTAAACGTTCGCTGGTTCCGTGTGGTTCCGCGCCGAAAGCGCTGAAGTCGTTCTAGTCACGTTGTTTTTCTTAGAGGGAACTGAATGAACACGTTGAGAATGACCTGATGGCCAGGGAAAATGCGTAACTACAAAGCTGAACACAGAATTTCTGGATGCATTATAAAACATTTTCAAAAATTATTCAGCATCTGAACGGATAACTAATTGCATTTTTACGTGGATAATCATTTATTAGAAGAATTATTATTCATGGTGAAATATGCTAAATTATTGCTAAATTCTAGGCACTTTAAAAAAAAGTATTTTTGGCCTGTGTGTGTGTAACTGAGCTTCCACATTTGCCACTTAAAACAATTACGATGAATCTTAATCGAAAATCGGATGTTGTTATTTGAGATACACTCAACTCCACATTTCAGTGCTTATTTTTAACCTATTAAAATGCTCATCGATAATCTCTGATTTGTGCTTCCGAGGAAACTGAAAAACAGGCAGCTCTTGAGCACAAGAATCGTTTGGTGAAGTCAGTAATGCTTAGGTGAAAAGTAAATAATAGCAAAAATAATAAAAAATGAGTTCCTTGTCTGGAATAAAATGCTGGGGTGAACCTTTGCCACCACAGGAGTTCTTGAGGAAGTATGGGCTACCGCAAATTGTTAGGGTCTTGGAAGGCAACCGAGTCCAAGGCCCAGCCCGTGTGGACCTAGATAGGCCTTTGCTACTCTACAAGGCCTACATATGTCAGCAAGTCCATGCTCGTAGTATTGACAGAGATAAAAATGGAGGAATTACATATGTTGGTCCGCCTTTGATTTTGCCTGATACATATCCTGGTAAGTTGAATTTTTTTAAATGTGTTCAGCATTCCCCCTCCCCCATTTTATCCAACAAATGGATGAATTTCATTATTATGCATTGCTCTGAATTCTTCTGAGTATCACTTAAAACTACTGCATTACTGTTTTAATAGCCATTAGATGTTTCAGGTCGTTAATATGCAGCATAATTTTGTGTTGCTATGGGAGTTACATTATCAGAATTTATATATTTTTTATTACGGGTAAATATTACCAGTTTTATAGCCGGTAAAGTTTTCTGAACTGATATATTTATGTCCTATAGCGTATTTTTTTTTTTTTTTTTTTTGTTGTTGTCTTAAAACAATGCTTATTTTAAACGGTAAAGCTATAATTTTGAGATAGAAATATTATTCGATCATTGAAATACGGATTCTAGAATATCTTCTTGCCTGTGAATTCGGTGTTAACGTTTATTAACGAATGTTCTTTAGTTCATATTCTTAACAGTGTAATTTTATGCTTTCATGCGGATTAACTTCTAGCAAAACAGTATATATTTTAATCGGCGGAAATATAATTTTAAGCTAAAAATATTCAGTTACTGAAATATGGTTTTTAGAATACCTTCCTTGGTACAGATTCAGGGTTAAATTTCGTGCGATTTTTATCCAACAAATATTCTGGTACTTATAATTTTCGAACACAGTTAACTGCGATTTCGTATTTCGGAAGGAGATTGTATGCTTCTCTCTAAGGACCAGAAAAATATCGTTATTATTTTGTACATTAAAAATAATTTGAAAATACTTATACAAATTTTTTAACTTAATATCTTCATTAATTTCCATAATTTATTTTAAAAGTATAAACATCAAAGTTATAATTTTTTAGCTTTAATTTTTTAGCTTTCTTTGCATACATGTTAGTTTTAATTTTTTAGCTTTCTTTGCATACATTTGTACAGAATTTGAACCGACTTAAGAGCGCAATTTAAAGTTTTTTAAACGCTTTTATAATGATTCCATTTTTTCCATTTATTGATATATGTGCAAAATAAATTTACTTAATTTTATGCATGCAAAATAAAATTGCTCAATTTATTCGATATATGTGCAAAATAAAATAATGAATCTCTTACATTTCTAAACTCATTTTAATGCTTTAGAAGTTTTATTTATAAATATGTAAATTGATTTGTAAAATATGTAAATGGTGTTGGTATTCTTAAAAATTTGAGATTTTTTGTCCCAAAGCTCATCGAATTACTTTCTCATGTATTTAAAAGCTGCCTTTATTAACTCTTAAGAAAAAATTAATTTTTGCTATTTGAAAAACATAGTCTCTTTATTTCTTCCAAGTGATTCTCAATATTTCTTCATTAGGTTTAAAACTAATGCAAATAATATGTAGTAGCTCATATTTCTAAGAATATAATATCTATATGATATTTAGATTATTACTAAAGCCTAACTGAATATACAAAAATGGGGGGAAATTGATTTTAAAATGAATAGGGTAAAAACTTCGTAACACATTTGTATTTTAAACGACAGAAAAAGCAATAAAAATCAGTTCAAAGATAAGTATATGGAACTATAAAAACAGGCTAGAATATATGGAACTATAAAAGCAGGCTAGAAAACTATAAAAACAGGCTAGAATTTGTCGGATTTTGCACGAAGCACATTCATAGAGTAAACATAACTGCAAATACCCCGATTATGAGGATTAGGATTGAATATTATAAACGTAAATTTCCGTTTCTAAACTCCAGAATTTGCGTAGTACAGTCAAAAAGATATGTGCATTAAGCTTGTGAGTTTTCGATATGTTTGCCAAAACTTGAAATAAATAATGAGCTGTGCGAGGCGTCAAAGGATTACCCCATTGCAAAGCTAAAAGTAACCCCGTGTGTCCTCCTTCTCCTTCCCATTGAAACTGTGATGTTTCAGCACTAGGCTGAAATATCCGGATGTGTTAGTCTATTTACACTACCTGAAAATGTTTTCACTGTTTTTCCAGGATTAGTACGACTTTAATATAATCTTCAATTTAGCTTGAAGCACCGATATATCGGAAGCTTGGCTGTATGTACATTTGGTAGCATATTTTATTTACTGCAATCTAAAATGAATTGGCAGAATTTTATTAATATAATTTAGTATTCAGAGTGATTTCATTGAAAAATAAACTAATGCTTGTTCACAGGCGACGACTGTTAACTGCAATTCTCACAAATAAAATGCGTCCTCGAAAATGATTCAGAACTTGAATTTCAGACTGAAATTTTAATTGTACTTCGAACTGAAATTATAACCAAAATTTTCATTTTAAGCAGACAAGGAAAGGATGAAAAATTAAACTATATAAATGAATTATTTGTTCAAAATTTCATCTTATGCATTGGGTATTTAAAGCTTGAAGCTTCTTTTGATCTTTCGATAATGCAAAACATTTAACGAATGCCCACATTATTCCATAGCGATTCTGAATACACGCTGCTGCTATCAAAAAACAGCTAAACGGATGAGTGGATTATATACTATAACTGTCAACTTTAAAATATAAAAAAACCGGGATGTTCTCGAGCGATATCCAGTAGAAATTCTTCTACGAAGAGACCGCTTTTACAAAAAATTGCTCTTGTATGTTTAGCTATAATAATCTCAGCCTCCTTGTCATTAAAACAGCTGTGGAACATCTTATGATGATTCGGTAAACAACTAACCAGGTACTAAAAGTAAGCCTGCCAAAGTGGCAAATGGTTGAAACTATTGATAAGTACTAGTTTATCAGTGGGCAGTTTCGTTATCAGCCATCGTATTAGCTACCGAGGCTTTTCTTGTCTCCCCTTCCCCAGTTCAAGCCAGTTTTCTCTAGACAGTCCTTCGCGAATGCATCATTCATTTGACATGTTATCGATCACTAAACTAAACAGTGTTGTATACATTTTATGGTTTTCAGCTCATGCTCTTTGAAAATTAAAAAGAAATACAAATTCAACTTTTTAAATGAAATTATCCTTCCTCCCAGAATATTATTCGCTTCGATTGAATACGTCTCAAAAAAGTAATTTATTTCAATTAATAATTTCAAGTAGTTAAATGTTATCCTTAGAAATATATTTTGAACGGCCCATTTTTCTTGCAGCGGAACAGTAACAGTTTATTTTCGTTTGAAAGATGTTTACATAATTTAATAAAGTGACATTTTAATATTAGTTCCGATAGCCAAAATCTCATTTTCAAATGAAATGGTTTAGACAACGCTAACACAAAATTTCTCTTAACGTAGGTAACCTTCCGAAACTGTGCACAATATTCACTTTTTTCAAGGAGAAAACACTGGGTAACACTTTGTCTTCTACGATGATGTATGTTGTTTCTGCCAACTGGATTGTACCATATATGAATATTTTTTATTTTTTTAATTAATCAAAATCCTTTATCAACTATTTTTCTATTTCCAGAGCTGCATATATTACCTTTGTACCATAAAAACTCCATCGAAGTTTGCCTTAGTTAATCCAGTTAATTCTAGATTAATGAAATCCGTGTTGATATTTGACGTAGCTTTGTTAATAGAATAATTGAATAAAATATATACACGTTAGCTATTGAATTTTAAAGTAACCCATGAGATTTCTCATGGCTTTAAATTTTTAATCTATGTAACCAATTACACCTCTGCCAAGGATCATTGAACTATTAAAAATTCAACATGAAAATCATCTTACATAGCCGTAGAAATGCTCTTTCGAGACGGAGCTGATAATTGATTAAAATGGAACTGATCAAATTTTTAATCATCCGTTAAATCGTGAGCTGAAATCAGTTATTGGATTCACGCTCAGGTATGCATATCAGTCTTATTGGATGATACTAGCTCACGTCTTCGCTGATGATTACGTATTATTGTTGTATTATTGTGCATTTGAATCACGCAGTGATGTAATTTTATGATTAAATGTATATGTACTAAATAATTATGTGTACTTATTTATTACATTATGTATACACGAGTTCACGAGATATTCTTTCATTGGCTAGCAATCTAGAAGTTCTTGCCATCGTCAGTATTTCAGCATTTACAATTTTCAAAACTCGTGACTTTCATAATAAAAATTAAGAATTTCAGGTTACATTCGTTGTACCCCTTTTATCCTTAAATTTTCCCTACATACTTTTGTATGTCTTTGTCAGAATTTCGCAGCTCCTTGACGTCAACTTCCTTGTAATAAAGCCGACCGATTTGATCGGCACATCATTAGAATATGAATTAGCTTAATCCTATTCTAACGAATTCTTACTAGGAAGTGATTTGAGCTACCGCGAAATCATACAAACCATGTAAAATAGCGTAGTAAATTTTTGTGGTGAAATAGTATATTCGATTTTTGTGGTGGATTTCCACGAAAGTTATCTGGATATGCAATACGTTTCTAGTTATCCGAAACTCTAGTTATTTGGATCTTTTGCTGTTCATTCTGGCCTTATGGGATTTTTCTGTTTATTAAGCTATTGCGTTTTTTAATTCTTTCTTTGATTTAAATGTAAGTTTTCTTTTCAGTATGCAAATAAAATAGTAAACGTCAATGAATTTAAACGAAATTTGAATCCTTTAACAAGTTGTCTTCCTTTATTGAAGTACATTCATCAAGAAATAATTTTGGAAGGATTTTTTTCATATGTATTCGTTGTACCCTCTGAATAAAAATTTAAAAATACTAACCCTAACGTTATAGTATATAAAATAAAGAGTTGCAAGAATGGTACATATCTCGAAAACTTATAAAATTCTGCCACTAGTTTGACGTTGGTATCTGTACAATTTTATAAATTTTAAATGCCGTCTCAGAAGATAAAAAATAAAGGTAACGAGCCACAAATAAAAGGAACAGTTAGGTTTCGTCAGAATAGCAACATCAGAAAGATTTTCTACAGATTTGGTATAAAAAGTTCTATTAGAAAAATGTTTGAGATGATTCATCCTAGGCCAATTATGTTTTTGGCCGTTTCCATCGTATCTATGAC